CAGACCTACCCAATATGTGCTTTGGAGGTTTTTATGCAGCTCGAGTGAAGAAGTTATCTTTACCATCATTGTCCGATATTTAAATCGAGTTGCATTTCTACTAAAAATCCACTAGAGGGACCCCTACTCCAACTATTTATTCTTTGTATTCTTTAGGGTTTACCAATGGGGCAGATCGTGTTTTTCAATCGTCATTTTCAAGACTTCATCCTCGTCTATGCTATATAGGTATTCGCGATTACAAAATACAGTGTTTTAGGTTTTTAGGTTTTTCCACAGAATTTTTGTTTTGGTCTCATACACCAAATCGTTTCTCTCCTAAAAACCTCGAGGCTTTAAACCCATGATTTTAAAACGCACGAAAGACGCGTTACAACCTCAGAACCACATAATTACCTGCTTTTATCTCTCTTTGTCTCAGACACAACACTTCTGAGTTTTATGACTCACCATTTGCAAGCTTCAAAGTTGCAGCTACACAACATGGTTAGGGTAATAGCCAACCTACTCTGATAAATAAGTAATAGGATGTAGATGACATATTAAAGATAACCATAATTATCACCGTCATCTTTTGAACAGATGTGTTGTCACTTAACCGGTTTTGCAAATGAGAAGCTGCTCAACCAGGTTATGTATTTTAAATGAAGGATCAAAACCGATTGCATTGTTTGTATTTTTAGACCGTTGGCTTTCTATATAGCACGACAGGTTGCATGCAGGCTCTTTTGACTGAGTTGCATTCAGCAATGTTATAATGTGTTTGATGGGAAATCGACATAAAGATGAACAGCTGTTCTGTTCTTTTTTCAGCTGTGGGTACATGTTTATGCCCCCTCTGTTTAAAGTTCCCTGTTTCTCTATAAAAGATATATCTTTAGGAAAGCTAAAATACTACTACACTACACATTGCAGGACAAAAAAATTGATATTCAGTAACTTGTATCATTTAAAATCAACGTGTTCCATTACAGTTCTAAGCCATTCTCTCCATTAATAAAACGTTCCTGCCTTAACAGAAATAACCTTACAGTTTATATACAGAATGAGAACATAATGGGAACTGAGTCATCTATATGTCATTTTTTGAAAAGTCTTAGACCTGTAAAAAATCTGCTAGAAGGAGAAGCAGGGTTAATTTGTATTTACAGTCTGAAATTAATTTTAATTTAATTTAACTAAATTGTTTTTCTCGAAAAATGTTACAGATGTTTCAGTACAACATGAAACCTTTGTTCTTATTTTTAAAAGAAAAACTTTACTGTTACTAAAATCTTTACCTATCACCGTCATTCATTTGCTGAATTGAATTAAAGAGTTTTTCTGGTTGCAGATACCAAACTACTATCAGACCTTCTTCAGTCTCAGCAAACATCCAAACTTCAGGGTCTTATATAACTTCAGTTCCAGGTAGATTTGTGAGATACACAACAAACAGCAAAACAGAATCCAGAAGTCAGATAGTCAGATGACTAAAATCAATCACTTCGCAGTGTGTCTACAAGTCACAGAAGAAACAAGAGTCGTTAATGATGTTTCACTGAATCACATGACACATCTTTTCCAGCTGCTGAGAGAAGCAGGTGTGTGCTGTCTAGTGCTTACGGGTGGTGAAATTGGAGACACCTCTGTAGGTTGCTCTAATGAGCCATACAAATCTGTGGAGATCATCCCCCAGTCAAAGGGGGTGGGCTTTTGGGCCATTGTTTTTCTCATGGTGGCTCTTTGGTGTTGTAGGGCAATCCCTGAGCAGCCTTTTATGTCAGTCCTTCAGAAAGGATAACCGAGCCCCTATTCCTCCCACTGCTGTTGTGAATCGCAAAACTGAAAGGATTCCTTGTTTTCTAAATATCAGAAGATGTTAATAAAAATAAAACGTCATCCATAGCTGAAAGGCAGCCCCACCTAGATCTGGTAGAGAGGTAATTGCTTTGCCAAATAAATTAAGGAAGAACTCTTAGGTAGGCCAGGCTTTATAAGCCCAGAGTGGGCACTTAAACACAACATTGGGGTTAGCACACCTTCAAAACATTGCTATGGAAGCTCTGTTGAACAATTTAATTGAACTGTTGTCCTTGGTTTAATATCTTAAGGACAACACCTCCTACATAGTGACCCTTTAAGCACCAACAGCTTCACAACACCGTAGATCAGGCTGAGAAGTGAGGAAATGCTTTATTAGTTAAGTTAAGGGGGAATTTCATGCAAGTCCAAAGTGGCATTTAGCCAGGACACTAAGGCAGTCCTTACCTCAGAAACACATCTCATCCAAAGGAGGGCACAGTGTGCCTTAGGTTATCACCACGGGATATAAGGAAAAGCGCCATCTACTGTTCCACCAACACCACTTACAGCAGCACAAGAGGTTTTCCTTGGAGGTCTCTCACCCCTGTGCTGAAAAGGCCCAGCCTCGCTTAGCATGTGAGACTGAAGAAGACCAGGCTATAAAGGTGGTAACACAGTCATCATTTCTTTATTGTTTCAACAACTGCAACAGACAGGAGAGATGTGAAAAAACAAAGCCAGGGGTTAAAATGCTCGATCGACTAAATAACATAATTAGCCTTAAACGCACAGCGCATGAATGAGGACAGTCAACTAAAATAAAAGTGACTGCAACTTTAAAC